AAGTCCACCTAGAACATTCTCTAGAACCTTCCATTGATTTCTTAGCTGCATCTTTTTCATATCTACAGGTAAAATATATGGATCAAAAACACGAGCAACAGTGGAGGGTCGACTCTAACCAGTCACTTGTGGGTCTGGAAACGATTTTCTTGTGTATGTTGATGGTGTCTTTGATGGACACCATTTAAAAATGGGGTTCCAATCACTCAGAATCAGAGCTCATCTGAACATGATGAAAAGGGAAGATTTATTTCCAACTAGATCCAATTGTGCAAGCCCCATCTGCAGACTCAGGAAATGACTGGAATGTTCTCCAGTTTTATGAACTGATGAAGGACGAGCCTCTCTGACCTCTGTCCAGCCAGAGTGGATCTGTCTATGAGTATGGGAATGCAGCAGGCTGCATTCCGTGCCTTTCCAAATAGAATGACACGGGGTCTGGTAGGCTTAACAGAGGGACACAGTTGTGTTCTAATATTTGGTTTTGGGGGGTTATTCTATAATTGCTGCCAGCAACCTGAAGCTCATTCAATGTGGAGAAGGGGTCACGTGCAATTCTGTAGGTTAATTTTATTAAATGCTGTCTTGCTTTCTTGAGCTCACAGGGGCTTTGTGGCTGCCCCTTTCCTTAGGCACACTCATGGAGCTAGGTATCTCTTCAATGGTCACCTTGGGACTCATCATGCAGCTCTTGGCTGGCACCAAGATGATTGAAGGGGTGATACCCCAAAAGACCAAGCCCTCTTTAATGGGAGCCCAGAAGTTTAAGAAAGATCATGGGTACAGTTCTTGTGTCTAGTTGGAATTTGAATTGGGTCTAAAATTGGGGGCATAAAAACAGCCCAGTTTGGCCTGTGTGCTTGGCCTGCCGACCCTGTAGATGCTCCATGGCCTGTTAGTAAGAGAGAACTTCTGGGTGGTGCTGTTTAGGAGGAAAGGCCAGGCAGGGCAGGGGAGGGCAGGAATGACCCAGAGGATGGACTTGAAAAATAAGGGCATCAAGGTCACCCTTTCATCAGCCATGATCTCGGTACCTTGTGAAGGAGGTGACATCTACTTCAGAGCTGTAATATGAATTAAATCAAAGCCAGGTGCTGTGAAGTATGCCTGTAATTG